GAGCCGCTGCCGGAGAAGAAGATGGCCTGCCGCAGGTCCTCCCTTGCCGCGCCACCCGCCGCCCCGAGCGCCTGCTGCAGCCAGCACGCGGCGGTGCCGGCCTCGACCTTGAGCGTCTTCAATGCCTCAATTGCGGCGTCCACGTCGGCCTTAGATGCGCCGCCGCCGGCCTTGAGCGCGTGCACGAACTCGGCCTGCCTAGCGTCACCTGCGCCGCCATGGCTCCCGAGAGGCGAGAGCCCTGGTGAATCTTGCGGCGGAAGGGAGAGGTATCGAATCGTGACTGAAGTAGCGTGCGGGTGTGGGAGATGCACGAGCGTTTGAGGCTGCGGGGTGAGAAGCCTGCCATCACACGTAGAACCGTGGCCATTAAATTTAGTTTGGGTGTTTTATTGGTCCTTGATTTTATCGAAGACGAATTTCTGTATGTATTTTTTAAAGTATATAATGGTCGGAGGTTCTCCGCTGCAGAGAACGTTTTCCCGAGGAGACCAATTATAATTTTGATTGATGCGTTATGATAGAGATTATTTATGTGGGTAGCTGTGCGTAGCGGTGTGCATGGATAAACAATACAAGTGTGTGTGTGACAAGTCAAAGTAAACGGCGGATAACAATACAGGTGAAAGGAACGGTGTGACAAGTTTGAGAACCCTGGCTCTTGGACTCTTAGTCGCCAGAGCCCAGATGTTCGCTTGCATGCTTCTCCAAGATTTTGCGTTTTTAATAGTGCAGTGAGTGGCCGTGGTTTTGGGCCGCAGCCAAAAGCACATCAACGACCTGCATGTATTATATTCCACGCCCGCCCTGCCGTCCAAGGAACGAAGTTCATCATTGGGCACCAAACACAACCAAACTAGCGTCCCAAGTTTATTTTTGGAACTTATTTTAGACTTATTTCTCATTTGGACCTTTGGTAGAAATATTGCAAAATAGACTATTTCGACGGCCGGCGCTAAAACACATGACGTCCTTAGAAACATAGCAGGCATGATGCTATGATTTTCGAGCATGGCAGTTATCGTGGCAGAGAGATACTACAACGCCATGACCATCAGTGTCGTGTGTGCTAGCATGGTGCCGTGCTGCTGTTGTTCATCGTTAAGGGACATGTAACGCTGTGCATGGCCGGCTCTGAGGTGCTGCGGCGGGTGCCACCGCCGAGCCCCAGTCCAAAGAGAGGCCCAATAGGTACGTAAACCCTGTAGGCTATAGTCCATCTATCAATCAATAACAATAGCCTCGGAGTTTTCAACATTTTTTCTCAAAACTATGAAGCTTTTCAATTCACCAAAATTTATTGGAAAGAATAAATAAGACCATATGTAATAATTTCTAATAATCCACTCCTAAAATAGAGAAGGCAATTTTACATCGGAATCTTATATTATTTCTAAATAATTCTAACCACTTTTATATATTCTCTCTCTTATACATTTACATCAAGAGCCATTTCCTACTCTTTATTCTTTCACACACACTTTCATCTTTAGATTGGGTGACAGATACGCGCGTGGAGACGCACGGATATATCCGCACGATCGGTCTATTTTTTCAAACGCGGAAAGATTGGGAGGTGAGTTTGGAAACTATTGGAGATGGTTTTTTCATTCTTGCTAAAAATCCTAGATTGAGAGGCTTTATTGTGAACTCTTGATGTTCTAAGTCGAAGTCGATTCAGTTTCCCAAAGAAATTCACATCACGACTTCAGTTTCCAGGTTGGGTTCCGCAATAGGTTTGGGTTCCGCAATGGGTCTCCTGTTAAAGACAGCTTAACTGCAGTGGCTCAACCCAGCGTGACAGCTGACGACGATTCGTCAATCACCAATTCTATTGCCAGGTGGTGTTGCGTCGAGGTCTCAAGAACAGCCAAACAGGCGGAGACTGGAGACTCGTGATGGGGGGTCTTTACCCCTCCTTATATAGTCCGAGGTAGGTTTACAGCAGATCCGATCAGTTAACAGATATGTTTCCTAGTTTGTTATATGAAAAGCATAACGAAATGATTCTATCCTATCTCCTAGATACGACGGTGCTAGATATCCTCAGAATGACTTGATCTCTAAGCCTATCGATGCGCTCGACAGGTGTGGGCCTCATTCCTCGTCGTCTTCAGCCCTGTAGACAGGCATGGGCCAAATATACGGGCGCTGAGGTATATCCCGGGCTCAGCACCCGTACGACTTAATGATAAGCTAGTTGAATGGTTGTACCCGGTAGGCGGGTCTTCTATAATCCTCGGGTGCCCACAGGTCTCGATTAGCATTTTTTGGGTGCTAAGGCCTCTTTTAGCCTTTTTCAAGCCTCTGTGATGATTTTATCAATCTCGAGATTTACTGGTCCAACTCAGTTCTTCGGATGTACTCCATCCATCCCAAAAAACCTGACGTTTAGGACATGATTGTGCTTACCAAGGAGTCATTAATTAGGGTATAGTTTTCCCTATATGCCCCTATTAAATACTGTTGCGAGCGCTATCCATACGAGAAAGTTTCCTGGCTCATCTGGTTAGTGCGGTGTGGGTGAGTCCCGAGGTCTCGAGGTCGAAACTCCGTGGACGCATTTTTTTTGCCCGTGGCTTCATTTTGCATGGGTTTGGGTGGGGCGTGGCACGTGCGCGTTGGCTCGCATGGCACTGGTGCGGGTGGGAGCGCGTTTGGTGTTGTTTTGGCGCGTTTGGGCAGCGCTGGTGCTTGTTTTTGCGCCGTTCGCGCTCGGATTTGTGCGTGGCCACGTAATTTTTCTGTCCGCGCTCCAAGCATTCTAATTTGGCGCTAATCTGGCCGGTCTCCGGACGCTTCGACTGCTCTGGCTGCTGCTTCATTTAAAACGCCTCGTTCTCCACTGTACCACTCCCATGCTTGTCGTGCTCCACTCTTTCCTTCTCCACTCCTCAAATGCAATGGCTAATCCATTTGATTTGAACGTTCGTTTGGAAGAAGATGACGGCGACGTCGATCTCAATGAGCCAATATTGGAGGACGACACCATAAATGGTAATGTACTACTCAGTTTGTTTGGTTTTTTTGTTTTATATTCAAAGCAAGAACGTGTGGTAACGTTTCTCATTTTCTTTCTTCTATTTTTGGACAGGGTTTGATTTGAACTTGCCATTAGATGATTTTGGTGCTGTCGATTTCGATTACCTACAAAACCTTGCTGGTAATTTTTTTCTCATTTTGTTCTTTCGTTTTCTCCGTACTTGCAATGAACCTGATGCTTTCTTTCCCTTTGATCTGAACGTTTAGCGGACGATGACGACGGCAACCTTGCCTTGGATCTCAACGAGGCTGAAAATGACGATGGCGACGCCGGCTTTGATCTGAACGAGCCTGAAGATGACGAGCATGGCATCGGTAAAATGCTTCGTCTCTTGTTTTCCTCTTCTGCATGTACTACAGCATGTTCTTCTTCTCTTGTGCATGACGAGCTAGAACATGCCGTGAGCATCTGTTGTTGAATGTCTGTGTTTTTTTCATATATTGAGAGCATGCCGTGAGTACTATTAAAATGGTTGTTTTTTTCCTTTTGTTAGAACAACATGCCGATCAAGTAAATCAACCGAAGCATGACTATTCTGATCATGTTAGACAACAAGTGTACCAAGCATTGTTGATGAGAAGTAAGAATGGGAAACTAGGCAAGCAAGATACAACAATTGTTGGTGCTCAATTTGGAGTAAAGATTCGATCAGTTCAGCGCATATGGAAGCAAGGTAAAAACCAACTTGCTCACAACATTCCAGTCATGGTTCCTAATCTAAAGAAAGGTAGAAGTGGCCGTAAAGCAATCCCTCTTGATTTGGAAAAATTGCGGGACATTCCTCTCAAGCAAAGAATGACCATAGAAGATGTGTCTAGTAGACTTGGTATTAGCAAATCTAGGATACATAGGTACTTGAAAAAAGGCTTGCTTAGACGCCACTCTAGTAGCATAAAACCTTACCTCACCGAGGCTAACAAGAAGACTAGGTTGAAGTGGTGCATTGACATGATTGAGCAAGGTTTAGTTGATGATCCAAAGTTTAAGGATTTGTTTGACTTTGTGTTTATTGATGAGAAATGGTTCTACATCTCTCAAAAATCCGAGAGATACTACTTGCTACCCGAGGGAGATGAACCACATCGTACTTGCAAGAACAAGAATTATATCCCTAGGCTCATGTTTTTGTGTGTTTGTGCTCGGCCAAGATTTAGAAATAGAGAATGTGTGTTTGATGGCAAAATAGGTTGTTTTCCACTAGTCAATTTTGAACAAGCTATTAGACGAAGTGGAAACCGTCTTCGTGGTGCACAAGTTATCAAGCCCATAACTTCAATAACAAGAGATGTGATTAGAGAGTTCATGATAAACAAAGTGCTGCCCGCTATCCGAGCCAAGTGGCCAAGAGAAGATGTGCACAAGCCAATTTTCATACAACAAGATAATGCACCTTCTCATCTAAAAGTGGATGATCCTATTTTTTGTGAGCATGCTAAGCAATATGGGTTTGACATTCGGCTTATTTGTCAACCACCCAATTCACCGGATTTCAACATTCTAGACTTGGGTTTTTTTCGTGCTATTCAAGCTATTCAATACAAGAAGAATGCAAAAACAATGCAAGATTTAATTTCAGCCGTGCAGCAGGTAAATTGATCATCCATTCGATTGTTTAAATTGATCTTGGACAAGTAATGAACTCACTAATTCATTTCTTGAACACATGTTTTGTAGGCATTTATGAAGTACTCTCCACAGAAGGCAAATATGATCTTTGTGACACTACAAACTGTTTTGAAGGAAGCAATGAAGATAAAGGGTTGCAACAAAATCAAGATTCCTCACATGAATAAACAAAGACTAGAGAGGGAAGATAGACTGCCATTGCAAGTCCCTTGTGAAGCTTTTTTGCTAGCCGAAGCACTAGCTGCTCTCCCTGCATGAAACCATTAGAAGAAGCAAGTTAGCTTTTGCACCAAATTAGATAATGCATGTACTGTATGTTAGCTTTTGCACCTTACTGATCCTGTATGCACTCGTCGTTAGCTTGTGACTCCAGTTGCTTCAGCTTTTGTTCTTCCAGTTTCTTCATATTGTATTGTTCGTCCAGCTTCTTCATTACGTGCTCAGGAAGAAGAATTGTGTCACCTCTCATTTGAAGTTCGTGCACATCAGGAATATACACCTCACAATCAAATTTTTCCATCTTATCGCACACCCTTGCTGCGAGATTGTAGTCCTCATGTAAAAGGCCACAACGGGCACACCTGCGAGCTTCGCGACGAGCTTCGTAGCATGCTTCGCCGAAGACGCCGCCGGCATGGAACGTGCCGCAGCGAGGACAGTGCACCACCTCGTCCAGCTGGTCGGAGTCCGGCAGTACCTCGATGGAGTCCGGTAGCACCACGTCGGAGTCCGGCACCTCCTCGACGGAGTCCGGCACCACGTCGACGAAGTCGAGCGCATCGACGGACTCCATGGCCACAACAGAGTCCGTGCCCTCCGAAGTTCGGTAGCGTCGGGCGGACTCCATGGCGCGGCGAGGGAGGCTTGTGGCCGAGGCGGCGGCGCCGTCTTTGTGGAGGTAGGCGCGGCGTGCGGAGGTAGGCGAGGGCGTCTTTGCGGAGGTAGGCGAGCGCGCGTCGATGTTCTTGGTTGAACCGTATACAAGGTCGCGGCGGCGGCGCGGTAAACCCTAAACAACTGCAGGCTGCGAGGGCGGCGACATGTCTGCGTTTGAGCACTGCGGCATGACAATGACGACAGAGAAGAACGGCGCGTCGAGGTGTTGCAGAGGGACTGCAGCGCCTTTACTCCATGCAAGAGCTGAGGACGGCGGCGACCAAGAGAACGAGGCGTCGGTCCATCGAGCGATTAATGCGTAGTCGAAGGAACCGTTGGCGAGCGGCTCGCCAGGGGTAAACCCGTCCTCGCGAGGCCTCAGGAGCCCAGGACGTCAGGTTTCACGAAAATGCTTCGGTTGCCTAGGACGTCAGGTTTTTTGGGATGGAGGGAGTACTTATAGAGGTAGAGGGTGCGTGCGTGTGTTCATAAGGATGAGTGTGTACTCGTGTATGTGAATGTCTGCGCCTATAACTGGGTCTTGCAAAAAAAAAATCCAAAGAGGACCAAAAACCTGAGACTCAAGCATGCACAAGCAATGATTGGCCAATGCATGAGGCAACAACTTGGGCTGCGGTCCGTGGGCTACGAATGAAACTGTTGACACCTAAGTTTAGTTCGCGTCATATTTTATAGAGACGGAGCTATTTGTAGCAGGAGCATGGCTGATGGGTGTGAAATGTACATGCCCTCTGCTTGCAGCTCCAAGACGAAGAAGACCTGGCCTACTTTCCGGCCTCTCGTGTCTCGTCGTTTGGTTTGGTCGACTCGATCCGTCGCCCACCGGTTTCCTTTGCCGGTCACGCACGGGTCAGCCGTGGCAAATCTTGACTAACTGGAGACCTACTACGGTGCGCTTGCATGCAATGCAGGTGCGGTCATCTGTCATCTCACGAGGAAAAGTTAGTACCCAACGCACTGGCTTGCTTGAGTGTCAGCTTAGTGTACTACACTGAAATTACCATCTCCGCGTGTTTAGTTCCGAAAATTTTTGGCTTTTGGATACTGTAGCACTTTCGTTTGTATTTGACAAAAATTGTTCAATTATGAATTATTTGGGCTTAAAAGATTCGTCTCACGATTTCTCGGCCAACTGTGTAATTAGTTTTTTTTCGTCTACATTTAGTACTCCATGCATGTGCCGCGAGATTCGATGTGACGGATACTGTGCAAAATTTTTTAGATTTTGGAGGAAACTAAACGGAGCCTCAGACAAAGAAATGCCTTTCTTTTTTATGCTGCTCTGTGAGCTGATGCCTATAAATACGGCCCCTCCAAGGTCACTCAGACTCAGTCATCAGAGCAATCGCTGCCGGGCAAAACGCGACGTGCTCCTGTAGATCGCTCTGTTCGTTGTCTCCGCGCTGATCATGCCGCGCTCCGTCTGCCATGGAGCCCATGGTGTTGGTTAGCTACTCTCAACTGCTCATCATTTGTTCGTCTTCTTCTGGCATTTAATGACCGATCATATATTCATTCATAGTACTATACTTGTATATATTTATTTATATATATGCATTTTCAGGGCCTTCCCCAAGCCATCGTCGTGTGTGCATTAATGGGCGGCGGTGGCCCTGCCAAGGTAGCGGCGGGCCCTACACGAACCGTCCTGGTGGTGGGCCTGGTAGCTACTATCCTGCCACACCCGCTGCACCATCGAACGGAGAAACGGAAACCTCACGTCCTTGATCGCGTCCTCCTCAATCACGTAGTACTCGTATGGTACGGTTAACAAAATGTTGGCAACTACTACTACATCCGAGACAGATATATATGATAGTACAATCTGGATCCATTCATGAACGACTATATATGTCAGCTAGTACGATATAAGCGGATAACACCGTACCGTCTCATGTACATGTGTTTTACGTTCTGATTTATGAATGGCATGCTCTTGTACGTTCTGACTTTCTCTAGTACATAGCTTTTCATTATGTATCAAGACATGACCATCACAAAAGTTATATGCGTAGAAGAGGTCAAAGCGACTTATAATTTAAAATGAGATTTCTGACATTCAATCAATCAAAAATACAGTCAACCTAATATTTTAAAACCCCCCCCCCCACGTCGTCCTCCCAGGTGACTCAGGGGGCAACACAGCCGCCACCGCCGGGGCTACGCGCCACACCGGCTTCCTGCCCGCCGCTGCCGCGCTCCTTGGCTAGCGGTGGCGGCGGCCCGCTGCGGACCTCAAAAAGACCTCTTGTAGCACCTCCTCCTCTCCTGTCCTCTCCTCCTCCCCTTCTCTTGCTCTTCCAAACTAGGTAATACTCGGCATCAGGGGAGGTCGCAGACGAGCCAGGAATGTTGGATCCGGGGCTTTTGGGATCAGATCCGGTGCGCCCCACCCCGGATCGGGCACGCTGGGGCTCCGCCCCGGATCCAGCGTACGGCCCCCGGGAGGCGTGGCTGCGGCTAGTCCGGCGCCACCAGCGACGTTGACAGGCAGAAGCGGCCCAAGCATGGGGTGGTGTGGCTGGCAGGCACGCTGGCAGCAGGCGGCCGGGCGCTTGCCCCCTGCGCACTGCAGCGCTGGGACGAGGCGTTCTCCGCTTCTGCTTGACGCCGTTCTCAGATCTGCTTCCGGTTACACCGCCTAGGCACCGTCGCGTGGGCAGGCTACGCGCTCACGCTCGGCAGTGGCGGTCGGACAGCCTGGCCTGCACCTGGTGCGCGTGGACCTGGCCCGGGCATCCGCTAGCGGGCACTACGTCCTTCTGCGGGCTTACGGCCAGCACATGACGTCTACTTCGGGACGTCGAGCACGCCCGGGAACGGACCTCGCCCTCACCCTTGCCCGTGTGCAAACTTTCTTCGGCTTCCCATCTGTGCCGCTCTTCTCGGTCGGTTCTGGTCGATGGGGCCTAATCTGCCTCGTCGGGTAAGTCGAAGCTCCGCACGAGGGCCAAGGCCTATGGGCGTGTCGTCGTCCTGCGCTTGCCAAATTAGTTCTGAGAAGGCGGCGGCGAACTACAGTTCATTCTTGGGATTGAGGAGCTTAGGCGAAAGCCGTGCGTGACCTGGTTGTGCGACCGACGACGCCGCCCTCGAGCGCCGCTTACCTCCTTGAAGGCATCGATGTAGCCTCCCCACCCTATAGCAGTAGCTTTGTCCCTCTCCTCCTGGTGAAAACCTAGCTCTAGTTATGTAGAGCCGGTTGTTGTGGAGTCAACGACGTCACGTCCTTCTTGGAGGCACCACCGTGGAGGGGCTAGCTCAGACCTATCTCTCCTGAGTCCTTGTCCCCCTCTTGGTGAGACTAGCCCTAGCTATCAGTCGTTGCCGATGTATCGACGAGTGTCCTCCTCTGGCATCTCTGCTCCGTCGGCGCTCTCCTTGATGGTGCCAGAAAATCAAATTCCGGGTGGTGTTTTCACCGCTGCCGCCATTCCCCTCCATGGTTTCCTCCCCGTGGAAGGCGTTGAATGGTGGTACGTGGGCCATGAAGTGTTGTAGGTGTCACCATCAGATTCAAGGGAGGTCGCCGTGTCCGATGATCTTGGGCTTGCGTGTTCGTCACCACTCTTAGTCCCCATTCCACTGTTGGTCTTCAGATGGAGGGCGACAGCGGAGCGGCTAGCTACGAGGAGTGGTGTCGGGCACAATGGCCGCGGCGTAACCGGCGAGTATGCTGTTCGGCGGTAGTGCAAATCGATGATCGGTTGGCGTCCTTCGGCTTGAGTGTAGGCTTATCCTTAAGTCCTTGTGTTGGCTCTTCTTTTTTTCTGTTAAGTGTTGTTGTTGTCGGTGCTGTCGTTGTTGCTGTTGTAATCTCTCCCTCGCCCCATTGTACTTCTTTGGACTCATTGTATCTAGATTGGCGCCACGTCCTTCCACCTCTCAGCTTGCCCCGCATCTGGTGAATGAAAATTCAGGTGGGGATATAGTTCATCCCCCGTTGACCTTTCAAAAAAATAATTTGAATCGGACAGAGTAATAGATAGTGGCGAAGCTCAAGCAAACGAGAGAGGACTACATAGGCTTCTATCATAGGGAATACATATATGATAATAATATTTTAGTTATAGTCATTGATTTAAATTTTTGAGAGGGTGATGTATTTGCACCCCCTAGATACTGAATAGCTTCTGCTGATGGAGTTTTGAAATTAAAAAAAACAAACAATTAGTGCCCATTTACACTCATATATTTATCTTGTCATATATATTTTTGTGTTTATGCCTTTTATCTTGAGAATAGCCGCTCGTTTTGACTGTGTTAAACCACATGATACCTATGACCTCGTCTCTATGCAGAGCCGGCCCTATGTTTTCAAGGGCCTACGGGGAACTTATTGTCATGGACCCATAAGGCCATATAAATTCATGTCTAATTATACTTGCAAAGCATTTTCAAAAAAATTATACTTGCAAAGCGCAAATAAATCAAACAACATTGTCTCAAGTTATACTATAAGAAATATGTTAATCCGTGACGAATTTTCGGTGATGGATTCAGGAAACGTCACGTAAACATGACCATGTGAAGAAATGCCTGATCTACAGTATTGGATATCCAACCCAGGCCCAATTACAGTTTGCATATATATAGGCTCTGTTCGCTGGTTGGTTTCTGGGCTGATAAGTCCGGCTGGTGCTAATTTGTTGTGAGAGGAAAATATTGTTGGCTGGTTGATAAACCCTGGCTGAAACCAATAAGCGAATAGGCTAATATGAGCCGGCCGCCACCCAGACACCATCCTGGCAGCCTTCCTTCTATGAGATATTTAACTTTTTACCATTATTATCGATGACGACTCCTAAGATAGTATTTTTATGTTTGACGCTATGTTTTTAGCATCGAAGAGAGAAAAACAATACATATTTGTCACTTTTACTCGTGTGGCACGCTAAATCCGCTGTTCAGCTCGAATCCGACGAGCAGGCCGATGTAAAATGACCGTCTACATGACCGTCTACCTCTGACATGTGTATTACCCCGCGGCCACTCCACTCTGTCCCATCCGCTTCCATTTCTCCTTTCTTTGGTCCGCGCGGGACGCCCGCCAGCCGCCCTCGAGAAGCGCAGCCTCTTCTCCCACATCCGCTGTGAGATCACCCTCAAGATTTACCACGTCAACTCCGGCGACGTCGCCGTCAAGTCCAAGCAGGAGAAACCGGCGAAGGCGGTGGTGGTTGGGCCGGAGGTGGTGGCAGCGCCGACGGTTACTGGGCCCAAGAAGCAGCCACACCCGCACCCGCCGCCGCAGCCACAGCAGCAGCACCAGCACCATCCTGTGGTGGCCGTGCAGCCGCCGCCTCCGCCGCCGGAGCCGCCCATGGATATCATGCCGCAACCGCCGGTCCCGATGGCCATGAAGCCGGTGACGATGCACGCGGACCCGTACCCGGTTCCGCCCATGTTCTCCGGCCCCGAGGACTTCTCGCTGAAGGAGACGCGGCCCCGCCTCGGCAGCGGCGTCATCGCCGACAAGGCGAGCGCGACCTACGACTTGGTGGAGCAGGTAGAGTACCTCTACGTGCGCGTGGTGCGCGCGCGCAGCGTGCCCATGGTGGCCAAGGTCGTTGCGGAGGTCAAGCTCGGCAACTACCTTGGCGTGACGCCGGCCGTGCCTTCGCACAACTGGGACCAGGTGTTCGCCTTCTCCAGGGAGACCATCCAGTCGTCGTTCATGGAGGTGTTCGTGTGCGCGCGCGGCAGCGACGACCACGTCGGCCGCGTCTGGTTCGACCTCTCCGAGGTGCTGCGCCGCGCGTCGCCCGACAGTACGCTCGCCCCGCAATGGTACAGCATGGAGGACCGCAAGGGACAGCACGGCGGCGCGGAGGTGATGCTCGCCGTCTGGTTCGGCACCCAAGCTAACGAGTCCTTCGCGGAGGCCTGGCACTCCAAGGCTGCTGGCGTCCACGGCAACGGGGCGCTTGGCTCCATCAGGTCCCAGGTGTACGTCGCACCCAAGCTCTGGTATCTTCGTGTCTCCGTCATTGAAGGGCAGGATTTGCAATCGGCCGATTCCCGGAGCTCTTCGTGCGTTCGCAGGGGGGAGCCAGATTATGCGCACACGGCCAGCGCCGGTGGTGTCTACACGGGGACATGTCTCGTGGTGGGGGCGGCGGCTGGCGGGCGTCGCGCGTGGACGAGGAAAAGGAGAAAGAGGAGCGGATGGGCGAGAGTGGAGTGGGCCGCGGGGTAACACAGACGCTAGAGGCAGGACGGTCATTTTACATCGGTATGCTTACTTGGATCCGAGCTGAGCTGGACAGCGCACCTGGCGTTGTCACACGAGTCGCGGTAACGGTAAAAGTTAAATATCCCTCCTCCTCAGCGCCACCAAACTCATCACACCTCCGGGTGAATGATTTACCAGCCATCCTGAGATTCCTGCTGGAGAGAGAGCTTGAACCTGCGGCTCATGGACCTGGCCTCCATTCTCGCTGCCACCGACAACTTCTCCAGGGTCAACAAGCTCGGCAAGGGCGGATTTGGCCCGAGTGTTGGCTAATTTATCGATCTGTTTCTCACAGGGCGTGCTCGGCGGCGGCTCCGAATCGCTGCGAAGCGGCTGTCGGCGCGGTCGCGGCAGGGTGCGGGGCGGAGTCCCGGAACGAGGTGGAGCTCATCGCCAAGCTGCAGCACCCCAACCTGTTGCGCCTCCTCGGATGGTGCGTCGAGCGCGACGAGAAGCTGCTGGTGTACGAGTACCTCCCCAACCGCAGCCTTGACGCCTTCCTCTTCGGTAAGCAATCCAACAACCAAGCGCGGCTCTGCTCCTTGTGATTGAGTGGTGCCCGATTAACTGAAGCGGCCACCATCCTTACCCTTGGTTGTTCTTGGAGTTGACAGAGAATTAGAACCCTAATTTTGTTCTTGGCATCAGGCTGCACACCAGTTGACTGTCTCCGACAACCGCGACCCAAAATACAAGGTCCATTCGTCCTTTGGATAGCGTTACAGGCAAATGGATCAATACCTATTTTTGGTCTTTCCCAACAACAAAGCCAAAGAACAACCCTTTCTACAAATGGATCTTCAGGAGAGAGGATGCTCAGATTTGGGGTTACGCCTCTCCTACACCTAAAATGGCTCTTCCATATAGATACTCTGTTGGAGGCTATAGGTATTATGTTGCAAACCCATTTTGGGTTTGGGTTCCGCAACGAGTCTCCTGTTGGAGACAGCCTTAAGATTGGGGATTTGAGTTACTGGATCTGCACTAGCGATGCTTTTGATTGGGTATTTAAGTTCCATCTTTGGTCAACGGCAGTAAAGATTGTATCAATTGGTCTTGTTCATCGTAACTGGCATCTGATTGCAGATTAGAATTAGTGCCTCTGTGATTGCTGGATGTTCAGTTTAGAGCTTGCAGACTTGCAGTACTCATTTAATTTCTCTAGCAATGTCTTGGAGAATAATATGAGTATATTCAGTTAATTCCTTTTTATATAAATGTCAGTTTTCAGATTCCATTTTTCAGTTTATATGAAGCTCTATTGTTTTATTGTTTTCCATGTGCTGGTTCGTCTAAACTTATTGACCACAACATGTATTTAGTCTACATGCAAATATGGAGCGTTTGCCTTACATATAGTTGTTGTATTGTTTATGTGTGATCGCCAGTACTCCTCCTTGCCACAGTATGTAAGCTTGCTGCATGCAAGTTTCAGGAGACAAGTACAAAGATCATGAAGCAAATGCACCAAGTTTATTCAAGGATAGCTAGTGTGCTACTACAGCAAGAAGATAAGGATACACATACACCTCTGCTATACAGTTTGCCGTTGTAAGCATTCAAATACTTCTCTAGAGCCCTGTATGTATCTGTGAATGTTTGTTGCGAATCAATGTATTTCCGAACCTTTGCCCTTCTATGACCTTCTATTAAACTTTGGACAGCGCACACTCACATGATACTGAAGATATTGCTTCAGGCTGAGTTCCCTAATTTAGGCATGCTGTCCTTATTGCTTATCTTCCTAAATGTAGTCCTTATCCTTTGAGCTATAAATCTAGACAACCAGATACAAATTGAACTGAAACTGAACTGTAACTTAGTTACTAGGTACAAAGTGTGTGCTTCGATACTTACTGTGAAATTGAACTATAACTGGAACTGACTTATTGTGTTCCAAAAGAGATCTCATTTATTAGATTTGACTTTTTTTAAGTCAGTCTCAAACAAGATGTTTGAATTTTTCTGAACTGCAAGTCGTAATATGTACAGATTGTTTGATGCTAACAGGAATATCTCCTAGCACCTGCTGTATAATCCAAATTTTATTCTTGTTGCAGATGATTATTTCCTTAAGTTTATCTGTAAGTTTAATTTTACCAACGTGCTCTTGCATCTGTTGTGAATTGAAATATTTACTAAACTTCAACTCTGAATTCAAGTACAACTTCTTGTTGCAGATGATTGGACAGGTTTCCTAGTTGCCTGCAAATAGGTCTTCATATGCGATTTTCTGCTTGCTGCAAAATTTACCCATCCATCACTAGTCCCTTTTATGTACTCCTGTAGTGAATTCAAGTACAACTTAAATAAAGTAATTTTTGTGCAAACTATAGCAACCATTTTTGTGACCAAAGTTATCACTAATTTAGCAAATGATCTGTGCATTTAGTCAGCTAACTGCCTGTCACCATTTTTTAAGCTATCGTGCTTTCATGTGTATGTCTTAAAATTGCTGTTTACGGTCTGTAAGCATTATAGTCTTGTACATATGAATATGTAGGCTTCAGGTCAGCGTGGTCTCATTTGAATATGTAGTTTAAAACCTAGCTTAGCTGTTTGCTTGCCTGTTCAGTACAGTACATAGAACAAATGGTAATGCTATTTGATTGTGCTGTGCATATGCAACTTTGCTGCTTGCTCTTGCTTTAAATTAATTATAAGCCATACCTGAACAGTCATTTAGAGTTTCAGTTTACTAAATAATGTGAATTTTAGTTCAGATCACAATCAGCAGGTCATCCATTTGCAAGTCAGTGCAGCAGCATGTCTGAAGTTTGTCAAGTGTCACTTTCATGCAATAGTGAATACACTATTTAGTAATTATTAGCTAAATAAAAGTCCGAATGTGTCTATCTCTGCTAGAGCATTTGCTTCTACATGTACTTACATTTGTGCTGTCTTTGCTATAGGGTGACAAATCAAATGGAGTTTTAGTGCAGTTTGGAGGATGGGCAATGAAGTGGAAGACGATTGGACATAAATGTTGTATATTGTCTTAACCAATTCTTGTAATTTGATCTGTTGGATGAAAACTTTTATGTGATCTATTGTTGGGGTGAAAACATGAGACTTTGTATTTGATTATACTAGATGAAAACTTGATTTATTGCATGTGATTCGTGTTATGTCATTACGAGATTTCTAAAAGTCGTCTAGAATGATGTCATCATCCACGTCAGCATTGACATCCACATTAGTGATGATGTCAGCGTCCATGTCATTGCTGTCTCAACGTCCACATCAGCATCCATGTCAACATAATGATGAGGTGGCTGTTTAATCCGTGACGATTATTTTTTGTCACATGAAATGAGCTTGGGCTGGGCTAACTAGGCATCGGGCTCTACTGTGACGATTTAAGACCGTCATCGATTCCGTTGATCCGTGACAATTTTCGGTAAACCGTCACGGTATCTAATCCATGACGCTCAATCCATGACGATAGCTGAAACCGTCACGGATGCTACTTAGTGACGGTTTTTTGGTGATCCGTGACGAAAATTTTTCATCATAGATTAACAGGTTTCTCGTAGTAACATGTTTAACAATGATCGATGAATGATGTTAAGGCTAAGACATAAGACAACAATAGGCTTATAGTTCTTGAACTAAGATGGTTACCTTGAATGAAGGAAACAAACAAACAAACCCCCATAGCCTAGCGTGAGTGCATGACAATGATCATATCGGCAACAACGGGTAGGCACTAGGCAGCGTTGCGTCAAGGAACAGATGACAGACAAGGTGAGGTGGTCCGCGGTTAGACAGAGCCGCGAAGAATCGTTTCTTTGGAAGAAACTGAACCAATATTGATTTGCCTTCCTACTTGGCCTCTTATTACTGGTAAATGGACTATGGTCTATGGGATTGGGGTTTCCATCCATTGGTTTGGGCCCCTACTTGGGCTAGGCCCTCGGCGGTCGCACCCGCTGCACCCCCTGAGGGCCGGCCCTGTCTCTACGTGTACATATACTCTGCTAGTGACCTTTATGTTGGAGGCCCGTTAAGTGTTCAGTCACTCGAGAATAAATATCCTTTTAGCCCGTGTACAAATCCTGTTCTCATTGTAGATGATTAGCCTCTTTGGCGCATCCCTACAAATATTTGTATTTAGACTACAAATATATATTTAGAGAACTGCTCCAATACTCTTTTTTCTAAAAAATGCACAAATCTCAAACCAGCTTATTTGATTAATTATTTTTTCTTAATTATTTTCCTCTGGGTCTCGCATGGGCTGGCCCATCCAACCTAGACAGAATCCAGCCTTGACCCAAAGCTAAAGCAGCTCTCCCAGATCCTTTTTGTTCGGGCCGCTCCGTTAACTCGTTGAAGGAGTGCCGCCGTCGTGGACCCTCTAGGTCGTCCGGCCTCCGGCGTGTCTCCTGGACGGCGCCAGGGAGGCGACGACAGTTTTGCACTTTTGCTCGGGAATGGCCGACGCCGTCTCCTTCAACTAGTTAACATAACGTACGGCGCCACACAAAGGGGATCAGGGCCTCGGGGGAGCTGGCTGCCTGGCTTGGCAAGGTCAGGGCTGGACTCAGGATGGTTTGGATGGGCCGGGTTGGGCCACGCTGGACCCGGGAGGAAAACAATTAAGAAAAAAATAATCAATTAGATTGGCTGCTTTGAGATCTGTGCACTTTTTAGAAAGAGGAGTATTGGAGCAATTCTCATTTATTTTTTATTAGGAGTGTCCCACCAGTCATTTGTGTTTGCCCACTGCTTTGAAATAACTAAGAACCGATATCCCCAATGGAAGCTGGAGTTGCATGTTTTCTTTTTGAAGTTTATATATTATATATAAATTGATAAAAACCAGAGTATACATAAGTGTAGCACAATGCCACAATAAGTAACACTAGCACAAAAATATAATGACAAGAAAACTGCAAACCTAAAATGCAGAATCTAAGTCTTATATCATGCACTAGGTTACATACAGATGTGCGGTAATCGTTTGGTTGTCACTTTGGTTGTAGATGACATGAAGTTGCAGCAATATATGGCACCAACTCATAGGACAAAAACTCAGGTGCCTTCTCGCAGGCCTTGGGCTTCTTCGAAAACAGAGAAGCTAGAAAAAGCCACATGTTTTGGTGGCTTCAACTTCGGCTTCACCGTTTTTAACTTGGTTTTGACTTCAGAAGTTGTTCTTGTGTTTGGCTGGTGGAGAAGCTACAATAAAAGCTCCATCGAAAGAGGCTCTAATTTTCGATAGAGACACACAATAGTGACCGATGACTAATCTCAATTTAGACCTAATCATCCCAATACATAGTTTTCTATAGCAGTTTCTACGTAGAAACAAACTTATAGTTTTGGCTAACGTACCGTTGTGAATGCTACCAAGCATAACCAGCTGTAGTGTCTTGTGTCATCATTACAACTGGTTTGTGACACAAACCAGTAAGTAATGAAGGACCCAGTAATGCCAGTAACAAGTAACACAACATGTTCATGGTTCAAATAAACTAGTTGTCACCTTGACCTTTTTACAGGATTAGAAATGGTTGGGTTGCTCCAATTAGCTGTGTGGGCCAACTTGAGCTCCCATTTTCCAAATACACTAGAACGGTCGCCTTATGCTAGTTGTTCATTTCCACGTAGTCAGTCAGTCCTAGCTCAAGGTCAAGGTCGTTCCTGGTGCGCCATAGTGCAAACATGCTCGATCGGTGGATGCACATATATATTTTCTGCATGACGAAGACCTAATAATTTCGTCCCCCGTGCTCCGTTGACTCGTTTCCTTTGCCGGTCTCACACGGTTCAATAACATAACAAATAAACGAAGACCTGAGGTGCCCAGTGCGCTTGCAGTCGTCGCCGGTGCGGTCGTCTTTCAGATCAGACATTCAGGAAACGCGCACTGGCTTGTTGGCCATCAACTCTTACACTGAAATTATTGGCTCCGCTTTCCAAAACAAAACAAATAAACAAACAAAGAGAACAGAGAAAATATGAAGGGAAATCACTGACTCCGCTGCTACAAATGCCTTTGTTTTTCTTATGTTGCCGTGTGATATATGTTGCCGATAAATATGGCCTCCAACTCCAAGATCACAGAGCTTCAGCAAGCAGTTGCTAGACAGTAGCATATATACTTCAAGATCACAGAGCCTTTCTATTGTGAAATCTTGTAGATGTAGTTTTGCCATTGCTTTCAACTGGTTATGCAATTCATATGCATATTTGATCTCACCACCATGCAACAATTTAATGTTGTATCTAACATATGAAACCGTGCAGAGGCGGAACCAGCGATTTTAATTAAGGAGGGCCGAACAAATATGACATATTTTTTAGTGTGATAAAATATACATAATTATATGTTTCAACAACTTTTTAAAAGTTTTACACTATTTATAACCAAAATCATAATATTTTAATAAAAAATGAGTGAAAATTGAACTACTACGTTAAACTTAATGGAGGCGGGTTTTTTTTTTATTTTCGGAGACGGGCAAAAGCAACCGCCTCTGTCCAAAGGTCACAGTTAATCTGTGAATAACAGAGGCAGTTGCCTTGGCCGCCTCGGTTAATCAGTTAACGGAGGCGGGCGCCTTATAACGCTCGCCTCGGTAAATCGATAAAAAAACAAAAAAAATCCAGGCCCGCCGCCGAGCCCACTCTCATGCCCAACGTTGAGCCCGCTTCCGGGAACGCAGTGCCGCCGCTGGTGGCTGGATTCGCGTCTTTGGTGGCCAGATCCAGGCCCACGCCGCCACTGGTTGCCGGATCAGCGTCGGTGGTGGCCGGATCCGCGAGCCCTGACGCCGGATCTAGCGGATCCGCGAGCCCAGCCCTGCGCTCCGCCGCCAGAGGCCCCGGTCCACTGTCGGAGGACAGGAGCCGTGCGCCACGCCGACACCGGAGACCCCGCCGGACGCGAGAGACCCACCGCCACCGGGCGTGAGCGGGCTCGCCGTTGCGAGAGGCCCCGCCCTGCCGCACTCGCGAGCCACCGCCGCGGCCTGGCGTGAGCAGCCCGCTAGGGTGCGAGCGCCTCCCACCGCCTCTAGAGAGCGCCCAGCGCAAGAGGAGAGAGGGAGTGCTCGCCGGTGAGAGACGAGAGAGGGGGAGAGAGCGGACCATGCATGCGCGAGAGAGACGAGAAGGAGAGAGCATGCCATGCATGCGCGAGAGACGCGAGAGAGATGAACGCCTCCTCTCTCGTGAGGATTGAGCCGAGAGGAGAGAGAGTGGTGT